TTATTATGAGAGATAAACCTGTGTCTTCATAATCTCTTTATTAATACATTACTATAACTATTATCTGTAAATAGACACTTCAGTGAAATTCATGGGACACAGGTGAAGGTAATGGTGCAGATGACTGTACACATTTCTAGTCTTTTTTCAATTATCTTTGCTCTCTTTGTGTTAATTTATATTTTCACTTGATAGAAAATTACTAAAATTAATGATACAACGTGTTTTATAATTTTTTTTTCAAAGTCTGTTGATCACCATTAGTAGAGTTTTTAGCATTTGGAATCTGTAAGGAGAGTACATTGCATTAAAATAATTTTATGCTTTTCCAATGGTGTTATTGCTAAGTGAACAATATTATTTTAAGTATATACAAGAATAGAAGAGCTATAATAACTTACTGCTTAGCATAGCTCAAGGTCAATCGTGACTATGTACTCAACACCTTCCACGGCAAGATAGTATTGCAGAGTCAGAGAATTTCAGAATTTCATCTTACAGACCGGACAACTATTTAGTAAGTGAGGTCTATAGCAATTAAGAGACTCCACCAAGGTCCCAGGGTTCGTTTGCTGTATAGTCACACAACCCTTGCAATAGAAGTTCATCTCTTGTTTAAAAAACTCTGAAGGATTTTTTTTGTCCTCTATCTTTTTATCTTTCATGCTCCCTGAAAAGTGAGCATATTATACCTGTGAATATTACTTTATTTCTTATCTATATACTGGATGTCTATGCATGTGTTTGGATGGGTTATAAATATATAAGTACTATACACATGCGCACATATCCATACATTATGTGTTCAAGTGTATAAACACATGTATGTGAGAGTTATTAAATTCTGAGGTGGATTATTTGAGCATATGTTAAATCAAAGTGAAAACATTCAAAGGAATGCTGTACTCAGAGCAGTGACAAACAAGGGTACAGAATGATTTCAGGGACCCTTCAGAAGACTGAGTCGGCCTACAAAGCTGTTGTCTGGACAATGTGGAGTCCATATAGTGGGGCCCTCAGTTGACAACAGACTTTGCCACCTGTATTTTTCACCCAAATTAACTCTCATGATCATCCTATAGGTAAAAAAAGGTGAGGTTCAACAACAAGCAGGAAGAAGGACCTTGACCAGGCAAGAGCCAAGCAAAAGCCAGCTCCCCTCGTCTTCCCGTTATGCCAAGGTCCCTCTCAGGAACCTTACAGTCAATAGTTTCCAATTTTGTACCATGCTTTGACCTGGTGTCATTATCTGCCTCATGAGCCATGTTTAAGAAAACTCTACAAATTTTATTACAAAAGACACATATAAAATTATTTATAAATAAATCCATATATAGATATATAACTAGTGGTTAAATAGGGATATCACAATAATATTAACCTTGAACACTGGCCTTGACTGTACCACAGGCACCATGCAAAGTGTTGAGGGTTCATAACCTCGTCTTCAGACGATTCTTAGCTTGGAAGTGGGGGAGATGTTACTAATACCTGCCTGCTACACTGGCGCCCCACCCGTGTGACCAGAGGCAAAGAACTTTAGCTGTGTGTCCAAAGAGCATGTTAGGGGTGTCTTCCATGCCGGGTGTCACCTGAGGGGCCACAGTGGAGGGCAGAATGTGGAGACAGTTAAGTACTTAGTGGTAGATAGCATCTGTCTTAATGCGGTGTAGTGACTGCTCAAGGTCTTAGGCCCGGCACTAAAGGCTCTGTCTCCTCCACTTCACTCTTCCAGCGTTCAGAGCCCCGAGGAGTAGCTGGTATGAGTGGAAATTGACTTTGTGAAAATAAAGATCTAGAAAATCTGCCAATTCTTAAGGTTGTCAAAGGAATAACCAAGAAGAAACACACACACACACACACACACACACACACACACACACATCAGTTTTGAAATTGTAATGGCTGAATGACAGTAACACTGTGGTAACAAATTTATGCTGTTGCGAGAAGCCTATACTGAAGGGAACAGCCTGCTATTTAGTAAATAAGTTTTGTCATGTTCTATATAAAAACACTTTCAAAATCCAATATAAACATATTTCATAATCACTGCAGTTTAAATGCCTCTAACTGTTCAGAAACAGCGCCAGGAAAATAGATCACTTATAATAGACAGGCCTTTTGAAAACACTGTTATGTCCTGACTGTTCCATGCTTTTACAGATCTTTTAATTTTTATCAGATATTTCTTTTCAGCTGTGATTTGCACCACCAGGCAGCAATGGCATCATCTTCCCTCTCCTGCGTCTCAAGCTGCGAATGCGTGATCAGATAGAACAGGTGAAGCGCGTGCGGAAAAGCAGAGCCGACTGCAGCAAAGGTGCTCCTGGGAGCTTTTCCACGCGGCTCCCGACATGAGCAGCGGTTAAGGGCTATGGTGGCAGCTCGCTTACCTCACAGGAAAAGCCAGAATAGCCGGAGGGACAGTCACATTTTTCTATCAGGAGAGCAGGAGGAGTCGCTGCTGTAACATGTCCTAGCTCAGCCACCTCCATCGAGATTTCAGAAATCCTGCGAATAGCAAACGCATACTTAAAACACCAAGTGTTCATTTAGCACCACAGGATAAATTTTCTCTGATTTTGTCAATCTCAGGTGGGTTCTGTTACTTTGTCTTCAATTAATGCAAGATAAGTGTATATATTTAGGCAGACAACCATGCAGTGTCTCAGTATATGTATCCACTGTGGAAAGTTTAGAATCAATTACTGCATATGTTGTTTTGAACCTGGCTAACTCCAGGGCTTTTTATGCCTCATCCTAGAATTGCATCTTTTGCTTCTTTAGAGGTTGAGGTTACACATTAGCAAAACAGTCATACAAATCATAAGGAGTTCAGCAAACTGGGTGTGTGTTACCCTACGAGACATTATTATAAAGACTTTTTCCCTGACTTTTAAAACTATGAGTGGCTTCTGGTAGATATGGACAATTAAATAGACATTTGTACTCTTTGGCACAGACAAACCAAGGTTGTTCTCCATTAGAATAGCTCCCATAGTCACTAGTGAAATTACTTGTAATTTGCTACTGTGCCCAACTCTTTCCTCACAAGCCTTTGAATGTCCTTTCAAGAACTTTAGAAAACAAAGCTGGAGAACGACCTAACTATATCAATTTCTTTCTCAGGATAAAGAACCCTTCAAATTAACATTTTATTTATCCTACTAGGTAAATACTTCAAGTGATTTAATTCACCCTTGCTATTGGTAGAAAAGTCCTCATAATTGAAAAAATACTCACAGTGGAAATACTGATATCCTTTTTATTATTTTGAAATTATACACTAAAAATATATGCAGTTCATAAACTCAGACTATTTCATGATTGACTGACTGGTAACACGAAAATGTTCCGCAAATAAACCTTTAAGTGAGACAAGGAACAGTTTTGTTTCCATAAAAGGCAGCTCCAATAGCCCAAGGACTTATGATGGGCTTCTTAGCAAGCACAGGTAAGTTCTACTGGATTATGGACAGGCACTTGGGTTTCACGAGCGTTGTAATTTGTACCTGAAGTTCAGCCACCCTTTATGAAACCCACATGCAGCCTGGTGCTGCTGCCCTGTCCCTCACTGCTCCTTGGAGTCCACATACGGACAGCAAGGATCCCACAAGCCCCTCCTCTCTGAACAGGAAGACTCAACCTTTTGTTTCCCCTGAGTTGGAGACACAGAAGTTCAGCTGGTGTTTGCTAAGGAGTCCCTCCCTCCCTCCCTCCCTCCCTCCCTCCCTCTCTCCCTGTTTGTGTCTGTCTCTCTCTCCCACCCCATCCCTCTTTTCTCTCTCCCTCTTTCTGCCCCTCCCTCCCTGTCTCCTGTCTCTGTCTCTCCCTGTCCCCCTTTCCCTTCCCCCCTCCGTTCCTCCCTCCCTCCCTCCCTCTGTCTTCTCCTCCTTCACTCTGTTTCTCTCTCCCACCTCTGTGTGTGTGTGTGTGTGTGTGTGTGTGTGTGTCTGTCTGTCTGTCTCTGTGTGTGTGTGTCTGTGTGTGTGTGTGTCTGTCTGTCTGTCTGTCTGTCTGTCTGTCTGTCTGTCTTTGACTATCTCAGAATACACAAACATACTATGCTGGGATTAAAGGCTTAAGCACTTAGGAGTGTGTCCTGTGCCTTTTGGTGGT